CGTTTTGGTCTGATTTCAATATAACTTGGCACACAAGTAGACTACACTAAGATACATAAAATAGTGCATCTGTTTTTGATTTTGATGAACGGTGTTGCCATGGTTACTAAAAATAGAATTTTCTGTGAAATTCCTTTAAAATGCTACTCCTCCTACAGTTTTGATCTGATTACATTATAACTCATCGTCGCAAACCATGACCAAAATGTATGCTCCTCTCCCATCTGGCCGTGGTTGAAGAAGTTTCCATGGCCGTAAAGGCTGACGAAATGTTGTAAGAGTCTGATACTGTAGTAGGAACATTTTGTCTACTGTTAGAATTTAGAGCTGGTGTTAAATTTGGAATCACCGTCGGCGTCGTACTCGTGGAATTTGAACTTGGCAATGGTACATTTGTAGTTTCGCTTGATCTCGAGTTCACAGCAGTAGATGAATACGCCGAGGTTAAAGTGTTAACTCTTGAAGTCAGACTAATTACATTCTGTTGTAGGTTCTGCACTGTAGAGGTCAGCATCGTAACGATGTCGATTAGTTAGGATCGCTGCCATTGTTGTTATTATGCTGCACGGAATTCCGGAGCGTCGATTTACACAAATGGACCCAAATGTAACCCAAATAGACCCAAATGGAACCCAAATGGACCCAAATGGAAACACAAATGGACCCAAGTGGAAATCAAATGGAATATTAAATATGTATTATCGTATTTTAATACTTATTCAAAATGATGAAAATAATGAACTTACAGTTACAAATGAATTTTTTTATTATTAATCTCTAATATTGTATTTTGCAACATGAAGTTTTCATAGTATCCTATATACCGGCAAAATTATTTGGGGGGGGGGGCATGGCCTCCTCCCCCTCCATCCGTTCCTACTGCCATAGAAACTATCAAATAATTCATTTTTGTATTCAATTGTGTTCAATAGTTATTACAAATAGAATTAAATCGCATTTTTAAAAATACAATTACAGAAATTAATGATATTAAAATATTCTCTTTTTGTTTTAATTTCATTATTTTCTATGTTTTAAATAAGTAAAAACTTGAGAATACGATATAATACATATATTTTATATTCCATTTGATTTCCATTTGGGTCCATTTGAGTTTCCATTTGGGTCCATTTGGGTTCCATTTGGGTCCATTTGGGTAAATTGACGCACCCCGGAATTCTGGGATCGCGCACTTGTCTCTGTTCTATTTATAGTCTCCTGTTCCACTAGACGTATCAGCATTGATCTACGGGCGTTCTGTGGGAAGTTTATTCCGCGATTATTTAAAAACTCTTTCAAACGGGAAACATGCCAGTTTGCGGGGAGTTCTGGATCATACGGGGCAGGTCTTGTGGATCGTTTAGGTCCCATCTTACGTAACAATGTTATGAAACACGAAGTCAAAATTGAAACAGTCGAATTCGTCTCTGAAACACTGAATTAAAACGTTAAAAGTTCCTATAACGTGTAGAAACATCTAAAGAACACGCATATTAGGTTTAAAAAGTAATCCATTTTGTTAATGAGAAAGAAAATCGAAAATAATCGCTTCTGCACAAAGTCCGTGACTTCCAGGCTCCAACTGCAATTACCAGACTCCCCCTCTTAACAGTCTAGACGAACTCCAAAAATGGCGTGAACTCCAAAAAAGAATTCTTTGGCTCCGTCATGCATTGCGGCAAAATGGCTTCCGATGTAAACAAACAAAACAAATACGACCGAATAATGGCTGTATTTAGTAAACTGTGACTGGATTTTAATTTTTGTTGAATAAATAATTGCACTTATTAAATTATTTAGTGGTTATTGACTTATTTATCGCTCTGTATTCTTGCATAATAGTGATTTGGGATATACGACATCGGATTCAATAAAGTCAGTAAGAATTAATTTCCTAACTTAATTTATTGTCCCCTTGATTTAAATTTTATGCCATTCCTACTATAACGATGCTTAAATTTTACTTCTAAGACACTTAGATCGTATTTATTTTATGAAAAACCGCACAATTTTCACGGCGGAGTAGAGAAATTAACAGGTTCGTTTTGAGAAGACTTTTTTTACCGTAATTTTTAAAGAATGATTTTTTAAAGTTCTTAAACTGATAGATTATAATTCTAAAAATGTTTTCAGATTATATCTGTTCATATGTGATAACATTAGGTAAATAGCTATGATGATAATTGAGATGTCATACAGGATTATATGACGAAATAATATTACAGATGGGTAACATTCAGTCAATGTTTCACAGTTACAACATATATATTATATTGTTCAATTTTACATATTTTTCCCTTTTATCATATATTTAATTCCCAAACGTTTATTTTTCTTTGTAATTGATCTAACTTGAAACGTGAACTTTTTTCAAAAAAGCAACCGAACGGAGGAAATGTGGAAACTGAATGGATTATCTTGTAACTGTCACCTGATCGACTCTTATTTATTATTAAGACCATCAATTCAGTACTTTTTTAATTATTGGTAACATGTATTTACAATGCAGTTGCTCATTGCTGCTCTAAACATGCTGAAATTCATTCGTACACGAGAGACATGAAAGACAGAGGAAATTCGAACAACTGAAAATTCGCCAGCGTCCCTTACTTACAAAAAAAACTTCTAAAATCAGTAAAAGTAGTTCTAAAATGACTAACTTAGTCATTGCAAACAAATTATCAACCACAGAGATGTTGTCATAAGATAAAGACTGTTTAATTTGTATCCTACTTGTACGAGGTCTGGCTGAACCACGAAGTTGGTCAACTTTGACTAGAAATTAAAAACTATTTGCACATGAAATCAAAATTCTAACAAATACGTTCTATAAAAACATTTATTATTAATCATTTCTGAGAACTTACATCATTGCAAGGTAATCCAATTTTTTGCAAAAGCACTTTTTATAAGAGCCCACTTTTCACGATTTTTCACCATTTTTTGATATAACTGCGCATGCATGGACTCGTTTTTTGGAGTCTTTTCTGGACTGAAATTCTCACTTCCGTTAACGCCGTTTTTGGAGTTCGTCTAGACTGCTTAAGGCATCAATGCCCCTGGCTACTCTTTTCTTATTGGTCAATCAAAAATACCCCATAAACAAAAATCTAATTATAGAAACACATCCTGATTACATAAAAAACAATAGGCAACACATTTAGTTCAGTTACATAGGCTAGAAAAGACAATTTGTGTATAAATAATAATTTAAAGCCGCTTCATCCGAAACAGGCACATATTTTCTTAAACAATAAAAGTATGTCATTGCATAGATAATATATAAAAATTAATTAAAAGATTGATTTAATAGTTTATTACAACAATCCTTAAATGGAAAACATAGACCAAAGACCTTGTTGACAAACAGCAGTTCCTGACGGGAAGTTAGGATCTGTTTTGAAATCACCTTTGAAAAAAATACTTTTATTGGTTATATCTAATTATGCAGGGAATTCAAACCCGAGTATTTTTTTCCATTAGTAGAATCCTAAGTCATGATATATCTTTTAAAAATTAAGAAATTAACAATATAATCCATAATAATTTTTATATTAATATGCATATTTACAGAATAAAGGAAAATCAGATATTTTTAAAGATTTTTTAAAAAGGGAGTTTAGTAACGAGGGCTAGAATATTGCCCGTGTACACTTTGTTGTGGAAAAAATGCTCTGGTTTGTTCTTCATGAGTTATACATGTAAGCGATAAATTTAATTTTTAGCAAGGTGATTTCACGCAATGTAAACAAAGGATTATTTTTTGTGTGACCTAACAAAAATTATTTTTTTAACTTTTGAATTTTGATATCTTTAAAAAGAAAAAGACTTTGGGGATATAATTTGACAAAAGTTGAAATAATTTATGGACAATTATTTTTCAATAAGAAAAACGAATATATTTTTTTAGCGATTAGAATCGGACCAAGCGGCTTTAATGTCATTAAATCTCAACGAAATAAAAATGTCATTAGAGTTGTTTCCATTAGAAAATAAAAAGATACTTTCAGGAAAGGCCACACTACTTTTTCTGTAATTTATATAAATAAATATGTATCACACTCACTGACTGAGCATAAAAGGCTCAAGGTGAGCATATGACACATGGGCCTCCTATGGACTTGGCCAATGTTGAAATGTAAAAGGAGTCTTGGGAAGAAAATATTGTACAAGACTGTTGTCAACACAAAGTAAAGTCAATAAATTATTTTACTATTAGTAATTGCACTAGGCCTAATTGCTATATGTATACTCGAAAAAAGTATAGTTGTCATGACAACAAAGATAGCTTTCTGGATATTTTCTACGCAAAAGCTAAAATAACTCTGGAAAAGTTGGGTAGGTGCATATAGTCAAGATATAAAGAAGACCTTGTGGTCAAACTTGATAGCTTATGTTTGATAAGGATTTATATTAAACATAACAATAAATGTTTTATTGAAATAATGTCAATTTTATTAACGGTCCATTCAAGTGGTGGATTCGTCGAAAAATGACCATCAGATGCTTGAAAAGCGCGTGCTACCAACGTTTAAGGAAGGGTGAATGACAAAAAAACATGATAATTAATCTTTAAATATACCAAGAAGAAGTTGCATATTGGTTGAAGTACTAGTTTTATTATTAGTATAGAAAATGTATATAAAAGACATTTTTTGTCTAAATGTGCAGCCAGAAACTTCAAATGATCCAAACAAATATAGCAAGTGATCCAAATCAAGTAGATTTATGATTAGCACTTTGTATACAGTGGTACAGTGCAAGTGGTGTAGTAGCACATTTTAGGGTCTGTTAAATACTATATGATGTAGTTGTATGGCTATTTACAAGTTGTGTTCATGCAGCTTTAAATATCAATTCATTGTCTCATTTTCACTTTTTGCCTTTTTCCATTACAATGTGGGTCAACTGACTAATACATATTACACATGACATTTACCATTGGAAAAACAGTGGAATTCTGCTATCCTGGGAATTTATTGATTTTCTCCTCAGTGCATACAGTAAGAGATATTGAGCAGTCAACCATTTTCTGGAATCTGTAGCACTGAACAATTGTTTGATAGGAAAGCCATTTGTTGAGGCTTTTAGATTTTTAAAAAAATTAAATCAGGATTATTTTCATTTCTGGCTACAATCGGATGTATTGATCATAGGCTGTAGGTGAGAAATTAATATATAAATGGGAAAAAATACATTATGTATTTGAACATGAATGTAAACTGCTAGTACATACTAGGGCTTTGCATTTATATTTTAGATCATAACTAGCTTCTTTTAGCAAGATGGTAGTTTAGTGAAAAAAATGGGAATATTAGTTGTCATATAAACTCTTATTTATGAAGAATGAAATCTTCATTTACAGTAGACCATCATGCATATATGCTTATACCAAGATAAAATGCTCACAAAAAAGTGATTCACAGTGCTTGCTTTTTTGAGAATTGATGAGAACAGTAACAATGCTGCAGGCCAGCATATTTCATGAAGTTCTTAAGCACTTCATGATAAATATGCTTGGGTGAAGCATTATTCATTAGGATTTCATGTAAGTTAATTATTCCATCTGATAGAAAATTGAAAATTATTAGAAATGTATACTGTAAACCAACTTTTATTCGCGTGCGATAAATTTTCGCGATGTTCGCGAGAGCTTCGTCATCGCGAATATTTCTCGCCGCGAACGGGTCCTAAAAGTCTCTTTTTCTATTAAAAACAGTTCAATAAATGCTTGCTCGCGAAAATAAATCGTCGCGAACTGGTTTACTCTCAGTAGATCGCGAAATAAAGTCGTCGCGAATAAAAGTTGGTTTACAGTATTTTTCTTTAGTTATGGGAACTTTGCTTATATAATTGAACTACCTTGTATTTTAAAAATACTTGATCATTTTAAATGATATTTTGTTAGATAGACTTAGTATGGTAAGTTTTCTCTCGAATTTACTCACAAATGTCATTTTATTTCTATAAACATGTTTAAAGTAAAATGCTAAATAGTTTGTATGCAATATTTTTCTTCAATTATATGCTTCCTGTAGTCCTTTTTAGCCAACATCTGCAAAGTCAAGATGAGCTTATGCCATATCGGGCCACTGGCTGACGGCACTGGCTTCTGCAATGGCATAGACCACCTGCATCCCAGTTAAAGTTTATTTTTGGGGATAAGTGTATTTCTAAGTAACATAAATAAAGCCCAATCTGGACCACACTAAAATGCACTATGGACAATACCATACTTGCTTCGGATATTTTCCAAATGAGGCATCATGGTACAGTTTTAAAGCTGCAGGTCCATTCTTTAGTAACTATGAGCCCTGCCTGAACCAATTACTTGCGTGGATGAGGGGTCTGGGGTTGCAGGGACACTACATGTATTTTTCCTAGATGAGTTTCCAGGGTAATGTTTTTGGAGAAGCTGTGTAATTATATGGTCTGTTGTAATTAAACATGCATGGATTTATAAGGGTGAACGCTTCCAGACATTCTTTGGATACATGAGCTGACCAACATTTTCTTCATTAGTAAACAGTTTAAAGTTTTAAGCATTTCCATTTCTAGGTTACTTTTAGTCCTATTGATCGATACACCAAACTTGCATGGATAAACCTTGGGATGCAAACAAATTAGAAAAAATATGATTTGAATTTTGCTTTACTTATAGATAATACTTGTCAAATTCACATTCGTTAAATTGATAACATATATCAACATGCATTTGTATTTATGAAGTTAATGCTTTCCATGAAAGGTGCTAAAAAGAGTACAAAGCAAAATGTTTTATGTTTACACTATGGTGAGGAAGCTAGGATGCTTCTTTCAAAACTGTGAAATTCGTGGCCCCTAGGTCAAGGTTAATGATTATCTATACTTAATATATTTTAATATATTTTGCAAATAAACTTTGAAATGGCAGCACCAGAGTTCTTACTTACTCCTTTAGAAAAACACTTGGTAATAAGATGATGTCCGTAAACTATGTTCATAATTCACAGTAATTATAGTAAATTTAATTTTAAAAAGTCTTACTTTCATTTTTGGTAAACAACCTCTAAACAGCACAAAAGAGAGAACAGTGGTGGTTCCGGTAAGCAGATCCAAGTTACTGACATATTTTAAGAAACTGACATCAAGCATTCATTAAATTATTTTTATAAAACATCATTAATGAATTATTCAATCAAAACTTGATTTACAGTAAAATAAAAGAAATAAGTTGTGATATTGACTGATTAAGAAACAAAATGTGCAAATCCTTTCCATTTATGTTCCATCTGACTCTTTATTGAAAGATCTAGAAAGTCAGTACACATCGAGCCCGATGTTAAAATGAAAGAAATTCCAGGTTATTATTATAATGAATTGGAATGGAAATAATTGTAAAGCATTCAGTAATACAATGAGTTCATGAATATATCTATATATTTATCGAAAGTGTATTAATTGTGCTTTGACTTACAAATAAATGTCAATTAATGGCTACGGTATGGTTATTTATTTCAATATATATCCTAAGAGTATATAGGAAAATTCTTTGAAACTCTTCTTCTCAAAAACCACTGTGCAAGGAAAGATGAAACCTATATAGAAGTATCCTCAGATAGTGTAGATTCAAGTTTGTTCAAATCATGACCCTTGGGGATAGGGTGGGGCCACAATGGCTGATCAAAGTTTTATATAGAAATATATAGGAAAATTTTTAAAAAATCTTCTTCTCAAGAACCACTGTGCCAGGAAAAATGAAACTTATATGGAAGCATCCTCAGATAGTGTAAATTCAAATTTGTTCAAATCATGACCCCCGGGGGTAGGACGGGGGCCACAATGGCCGTTCAAAGTTTTACATAGAAATATATAGGGAATTTCTTTAAAAATCTTTTTCTCCAGAATAGCCAAGGCATGAATGATCATATTCATATGGAAGCATCCTCAGGTAGCATAGATTCAAGTTTGTTCAAATCATGATCCCTAGGGTAAGGGCGGGGCCACATTGGCCGATCAAAGTTTTACGTAGAAATATATAAGAAAAGGGGGGGGGGGGGGGGTAGGGTGGTGCCACAATGGCCGATCAAAGTTTTACATAGAAATTTATAGGCATATTCTTGAAAAGTCTTCTTGTCAAGAATAGCAAAGTAATGATTAGTCATATTTATATGGAAGGATCCGTAGTTAGTGTAGATTCAAGTTTGTTCAAATCATGACCCCTGGGGTAGGGCGTGGCCACAACATGGAAACCAAGTTTTACATAGAAATATTGTTGAAAAATTCTTTAAAAATTTTCTTTCCAAGAATGGCAAAGCCATGATTAGTCATATTCATACGGAAGCATTCTCATTTAGTGTAGATTCAAGTTTGTTCAAATCATGATCCCCGGGGGTAGGGCGGGGCAAATGTAAAGGCCAGTAAAGCCACAGGTAGTCAAAGATATATGCAAGCATCCTTAGTTAGTGTAGATTCAAGTTTGTTCAAATCATACCCTCTCCCCTTTAAAGATTGGTTGGAACCACTTTTGGATTTAAACTTTTCAATAATAAACTGATTTCTACTTTTTTCCAAGCTACAGTGCTCAGCTGAGCGAATAGGCCCATGGGCTTCTTGTTACATTTGATACCCAGGTGAACCATAAAGCCTGTGGGCCTTTTGTTTTTAAACTCTATTGCTTTAGCAAACGCTTAACAATTAGAAAGCTCAGTATTACATGGAAAATAGCTATAGCTTTGACAGCTCATATTCTTTAGACAATGATAGGTTGTTTACTAGGTTATTGAATTTTATATTTAAAGTAGTTTAGTTTTGCATCGTGTGGTAGAATGAGTGAGTCAGAACATCAGTATTGATTTTCCTTTGCATTATTCATATTGATAATTCTTGCAGGGAATGAGCTACAATTATCTGTTACTCCTAATCAATATATTGATTTTTTTAAAACATCTGCTATGTACAGGTTGAAGACAATGATTTATACTAGATTGCAAAAATCATGAAATAAGTCTTAGACTTCTTTTTGTTTGGTTTTTGTCATTCTTGCAATACAGTGAGAAAATTGAATACTAATATCATACATGTGATAATTTCTGGACCCAAACACTGTACAGCATGCAGTCTTCAAAATACTGGAAGTTTGATGAAAATACTGTACATTGCTAATCAAAAACTGTACCAAAAACTATACAAAAAATATCAAAATTCAATGTAAAGTGTTCATTTTTTAAGGTCAGATGACACATTCCTCATTTATGTTTTGTATCTCTTGGATTATATCAAAACTTATTCATATTTCTCATTCTCTTCTGATTTCTACTTTGTTTTCGAAATGTTTTTAAATATAAGTACATCAAAAAGTTGTGATATAGGCCATTCAGAAGATTACCCTTAAGGGTAATATAAGAAATATGACCCTGTGGTATCTTGTCCAAATGTCTGGTAAGGTAGGTACCCTAATATTTTGTGAGGAAACTTGTTTAAGTACCTATTCATCAATGACAAATTCTGAGGAAATATATATTTTTGAGAAACATGTCGTCTGACCTTAATAATAAATTTCAAATCAATGTACAGGTGCACCACTACATAACATTATATTTTATGTTTTATATTATATGATCACCCATTTCAAGAAAATCTTGAAGAATTTTGATTTTCTGCAATCCCTATCATGGTAAATGCTGAACTTAGTAAAAAGTACAGTGTTTAATATGGTCGTCTCCATTCAGCTGTATTTTTAAAAGACACTAAATAATCATTTCTCTTAAGCTAGCTGTGTTTGAATAGACAATACATATGCCTAAGCAAATAATGGTCTAAATTTTGTGTTGCTGTCACAAAATTACTCCGACTTAGGAGTGGTGCGTACTCTTTGAAAAGTCTTTAATTTGATAACAAATTACAGTTTAATAAATCCTTAATAAGGGTCCTATTAAAAACAATCAGCCTAACAAAACACCTTGATATCTCTCAATTACGATGTAATAAATATCACAGGAATATTTCATACCTTCGTTCATGATGTTTTGATTACATTAATAATCAGCTGCACTAAGTCACGCATAGTTCGAGATTTCTGGTGTTGTGAGAGCGGAAATGAAAGAAAAATGACAGTTTCCGGTAAACATTTCAAAATACAGTACAAATTTTCATTTCTAGTGAATTTTGGTGTACCACCGTGAGCCTGTGAATGGGGTCGAAAATATATGACATTTTATGTACCACCAGTACATATCACATTTATGTAATACAGCCAACAAACTTCTTGGTTATAAGCAACCTTTGTGCCATATGTAAACTCCAATACAAAGTTTATCTGTAAAGATTTTAATCTTCAGAAACTTTCAGATTTTGACTCTTAAACTCTGTGATCTTGATATACATGTATCTGTGTTAATTACAAACAGCAAAAATTTTCTTTAAGCACTATTTGTGATCTTAAAATCTTGTGACTTCGGGCAAAATATTAGTCTTGTTTTCTTTTTTGCACATGACCTTAAAGTTTCTTTTTAGCTCAAGTGAGCTTTTCTGATCAAAGTTAGTTGTCTGTCGTTGTCGTAAACTTTTCACATTTTCATCTTGTTTTTCTCAAGAACCATTTGGCCAATTTCAACCAAACTTGCCACAAAGTATTCTTGGGTGAAGGTGATTCGAGTTTGTTTAAATAAAGGGTCATGCTGTCCTCTAAGGGGGAGATAATTATGAAATAGTGAAAAATTAATGGCATCTTTTAAAAATCCTCTTCTCAAGAACCACTGGGCCAGGAAATATGAAACTCATGGGATCATCTTCAGATAGTGAAGATTCAAGTTTGTTCAAATCATGACTCTCAGATGTATGGTGGGGCCTCAATGGGGTATCAAAATTCAACATAAGACTACATAGGAAAAATCTTTAAAAATCTTCTTTTCCAGAACCACTGGGCCAGGAAAGATGAAACTCATGTGGGATCATCCTCAGGTAGCCAAGATTCAAGTTTGTACAAATCATGACCCTCGGGAGTAGGATGGGGCCTCAAGGGGGTATCAAAATTCAACATAAGAATACATAGGAAAAATCTTTAAAAATCTTTTTTCCAAGAACCACTGGGCCAGGAAATATGAAACTCATGTTAAATCATCCTCAGGTGGTGAACATTCAAATTTTTTCAAATCATGACCCCCGGGGTAGGGTGGGGCCACAATGGCCGATCAAAGTTTTACATAGGAATATATAGGGAAAGTCTTTTAAAAATCTTTTTCTCAAGAACTATTGGGACAGGAAAGATGAAACTCATGTTGAATCATCTTCAGGTAGTGTACATTCAAATTTGTTCAAATCATGACCTCCGGGGCAAGGGTGGGACCACATTGGGTGATCAAAGTCTTACATAGGAATATATAAAGGGAAATCTTTAAAAATTTTCTTCTGAAGTACTGCAAAGCCATAACTAGTGATATTCATATGGAAGCATCCTCAGGTAGTGTTGATACTAGTATGTTCAAATCATAACTTCCAGGGATAGAGTAGGGCCATAATAGGGGTATGGAGGGAAACAATGGGGAGTCAAATTCAAATTATTACAAAGTTATATAGACAAACAAAATGTTAAAATAAAATATTTAAAAGTTTTTTTCTCAAGAAGTTATATGCAGTATTGATATGGAGGCATTCTCAAGTAGTATTAGAATTCAAGCCTCTCCCCCCACACCCTCAGTAAGCTTTTTAATTCGGATCTGATTTGTGCTTTTTCCTAGCTCAGGTGAGTGATGTGGCCCCTGGGCCTCTTGTTAAAAACTTTAACCTTGGTCATAACATTTGAAGAGTTAGAAATACTTTAAACCAACTTTTATTTGCGACAACTTTATTTCGCGATTAACCAGGGATAAACTAGTTGGCGACGATTAATATTCGTGATCAAGCCTTTTTGGATCTGTTGTTAATAGACGCATACACTTGAAGGAGAGGTTCGCGGCAAGAAATATTTGCGATGATTAGGCTCTCGTGAACTGTGGGAAAATAAAAGTGTGCGAGTTTCGAATTCAACCCTTGCCATAAGCTGCCATATGGGGGCATCAGTGTTTCACAAACACATCTTGTTTTATGTATTAAACTTTATACAGGGTTATTTTTAGCCTCACTTTATTGCCCTTTTGATCTTGCAAACATTTTGCCCTGTCTTGAATTCGCCTAGTCACACTCTTGTTTAAGGTCATATGCAACATAGGCTAGTTCGAATAGTATTGGGCTCTTCCCTGGAGTTGAAGAGTTCCACTAAATGAAGTACCTATGTGCAGTACTTTTAATGTCTATATATGGATTTGTAAACCTCTTTTAAAACAAATTTTGATGGAAAAAAAAAATCTGCAATTAATGTTTCATAATTTTTATATATTTTTCTTTGAAGAATGCAAAAAATTTCATAATTTGATATCTTCCAGAAACATCTGGAAATGCATGCTGATTTTTTGTTTATGAACATCTGATGGCACTATAATCTTAAATTAAGAATATCTTGAAAAAGTATCAGTAGGTAAGGCCATAATGAAAATATTCCTAGATTCTCATCCCCGCCCGCCCCAATTTTATACCCCCACCTCGATTTTTTTTATTTCTGTTTTTCTTCGTTTTAATTCTGATCGGGATGGGTATTCATCTACCATTCTACTTTCTTTTAAATCCCGCGAAAGACGACATGGTTTTGACAGCTGAAAAGATGGTAATTGCAGATAATTGAAGCTTTACTATGACTTTTATTTGGGTATTGTAGATAAAATTACACCGATTGACCAGGTCAATAAAAAATCTACAAAATTGAAAAAATAAAAAATATAAAATAAAAGCCGCCTGTCCGCCTCGATTTTTGAAAAAATTCTGATGAGAATCTAGCAATTTATTTATTATGGCCTAAGGTACCTTGCGTATATCCTTAAGGTTTTATGTTGTATTCTTTTATTTCGGCCTGTTTTAAATTTGCCCAACCAAGGTAAAGATGAAAGGGGCAAAAAATAAAATGGGGGCAAAATGCCCCTGTATACAGTATATATTTATATGTGTTATAACAGTAACCAAAAAACTGTATCAAGTCAAGTTAACAGGTGCCAATCATTATATCTAATGAGACATAAAGTGTTCCTCACATTTGAGGGGAATAGCGATGCGCTTGTGGGTGCATGTATGTTTGTGTGTGTTAGTTTGTCTTTGTGCAAAACAGAAGTGACATATATGCATTGGGATTGATGTCAAATGTTGCCTTGATTTTTAGAAATGCTCACTTGCGAGGTGATGCACAACTTTGTGGCGCCTTTGCTTATTTGTGATGGTTATGATAAATTAGTTCTGAGTTGAAACAATCACACAAAATTGAGATTTCCAAAAAAAAAAAGAAGTAAAATTTATATATGTTTCATTTTTTGTAGATTTATTTGCAAAGACAACAAGGAAATTGAAGATTGTGTGTCATGGCCACCCTCGAAATTGTGTTCTTATTAATAGTCTATGTAGGAAAGTCCCTTCAAGGAAGAATAGGTAAACATTTGTTAAAAAGAAATAAATAAATGTTAAAATATACCATACAAAAAAGTTAGTGATGGTAGTGAAATACAAAATTGTCTAATGGTTTTATGCATAATGTTCTTGACTGACATATTATGGAGAGTACTTAAACAGATATACAGGTGACTGGAGCAGGGCTCCCACTGGACCGAAAATATTTTTCGCCACTTTTCGCGACACAAGCTTTAAGAAAAGGCATACTTACATCTGATTTCTCGACAATGCATTGCACTTTTTGTTATTCAATTTTTTTTATTATGTTTATCTGACACAGATATAAAATGTTTTAAAATTGTAATGTTTAAAGCTTATGGTAGTATCCATTTAAAAAAAAAAAAAAAAAATAATAATGTTGGAATTACACAATTAATTTGATATTGTATTGATAAAAACTCTTGACAGAAAATGTCCTCTTGTTTATATTTTTTTCGCCTGGCACGGTGGGGGTGGGGGGGCTACAGACCTAGTAAAAATATGACATTTTTTAAAAGTAGAAATTTTCATCATTCATTAATTAATTGTGAAAAGAAGTAAATTAAAAAGTAATGAAAATTAGGTTTGAAACTTAACAACTTGGAGACTCCAGGATTTAATATGCAAGCTCGTTATTGTAAATAACTCAGTGTAATTTACCAACTAAAGATAATTCTGTTTCCAAACCAATTTCTTTTTCACTCTTTGTCAGTTAATGGTATATTAATGTACACTTTTTAAAATTTACATTAGGCAAAATTTGAAGCCATTCTTTACAATTTTCGTCATGTTTCCCTACTTTCGGTTTAAAAAAAACGATCTACATAGATCCAGATTTTGTTGATAAAAATCTTTTATTTACAAACTTCATCTCCGAATAACACTTTATCCCCCCTTGTTTAATCCAAATTATATTATTTCAAGCAATTTTGTAACCCTTTATTGCTCCAGGCTAGTTACCTAGTCAGCAGTGTTCGTTCAAGCGAGACGTGATTTCCTGTATGTAGGTTTCAGTTTTCACACCTCTGCTGCATGAAGTAAACAAAGGGACTTATCTGTGTACATTGAATAAACAAAGGAGCTAACCAGGACTACACAAATTTTGTACATGGTACATCTAAAAAATTGATTTTCGCCACTTATGAATTTCTTTTCGCCACTTTTGAAAAAAATTCGCAATTGGCGACAATGGCGAATCACAGCTCGAGCCCTGGACTGGAGACCTCTCAACGTTTAAGGGACCAGAAGAAAAGCATGAGAGATTGAGGGGTTCGATATAGAAAATGAATAATATCCAGAATTTTCAGTTTCAGTCATCATTGTTCATCATTGTTCTACTATAATAGCTACTGGAAGTATATGTTGTTAAAGTCATTCCACGTTTTCTTTCATATTTTACAAGTAATTTACATAATAATTTTAACAACTCTTGCATTCATCATTTTGTGAATAAATACTGTATAAATGTATTTTCTGCGGTTGTCCAATTTTTGCGGAATTTTGTGGATAAGTTTTTTGTGGCGCATAGTGTTTCACAAACACATCTTGTTCTTTCTTTCTTATTTTCCACTTTTCGATCTTGTGTTTTGTCTTGAGACCATGATTAATATTACTGCTTGATTTTCCCATGAATTTCATCCAAATCAAACGACTGACAATATTAGTTACCCCTCAATGCGTGTGACATGTGATTTTTGGGGTTGTTGTTTATGCAACTGTTTGTTTTAGCTTAAAATGAAAATCCCAAATTAATTTGATGGCAATTAATTTGTATTTTAAATGATGGCTTGGAGGCATTACTGTGAAATCATCAATGTTCATGGGAGAACCAATGTTTGTGGATTTCATGGGTTACCCTTATCCACGAATTTACATCCCCACAAACATTTATTTTGTAAACATTGTTATTTATTGAATCTTCTTTATACATGAGTGTACTAAGAAATAACATTTCCATGAACCAACAAAATTTTGCTTACCCATGAACATTGACCTCCAAGAATTAAAATGATTCCACAATAATTAGGGGCCTGTGCAAGGATTTGCAGGTGCCCTATAGTAATCACTCTGTCTGTCTGTCATTCTTCCATCCACAAATTTTCTGTTTTTATGCCATGCCATGAATATGGATGGGGCATATAGTGTTTGTCGTGTCTGTCTTCCATCCTTCTGTCCTTCCATCTGTCCTTCCATCACACTTTGTGTTTAGCTCTGTTCAAAGCTAAGTTTCAAAGAAACTATCCAAGATATTTTCATCAAACTTCATTTGCTGATAGATATTGATGAGAGCTATGCAACCGCATCAAAATTTTTGACCTTGATCTTTCCTTTGACCTTGACCTCACTTTTCTTAAATTAGTGTTTCGCTCAGTTTTAAACACACCGTTCAAGATGGTGTTATCAAACTTCACATGTTGATACATACTGATGAGAGCTATTCAACTGCATCAACATTTTTGACCTTGACCTTTCCTTTGACCTTGACCCCACTTATTTTAATTAGTGTATTGTTTAGTTTTAAAGATACCATTCAATAATTCCAATCTTCATTTTATCTATTGATTTCCCGTGTTTTGATTGGACGAGAGCACGTTTAAGAAAAAGTTTACACATCGATGAATTTTTTCAATCAGACCTACTTTCTTGATCAAGCTTCTATGTTATCGTATAAACAATGAAAGCAGTTATTTCTGGTCTGTTTTGGCTAAATCATGAATATAAGAAGCTTCCAATTTAATTCATTAAAACAAAACTGACAACAAACTGGACTGCCCAGCTGACGGAGCCATGAATATGTTTATGTCACTGTCCGATCACGAGTGTAAATTTTAAAAATCGCTGTCTCGACGTTCATTATGATCATAATACGAAGAAAATCAGCTCAGTTTGTATCGTTTTGACATGGAAAAGAAACATACCTCAACCTTGCCCATTAGCATCAAATTCATGTTTACTTTCTATATTGTTCCTCAATCTTTCAACAACAAGTGCAAATCGAAGGGGTCGTTGGTCTGCAACTTTCGCTATGAGAGTTGTCGTTAATGTCAACATGGCCATGGTCAAGGACGAACTCTTCTGAAGTAAACTCGTAATTACGATATTTGTTGACTTAAACAACATTCGATAAGACTTTATAAGTTTCTTTATCGACTATTTTGACAACTTAAACTGAACTCTATCGAAATTCATCTCGATTACGTTCCTTTGCGGTAAAATGTATTCCTACGCTGTCCAGAAATAACGGATTGTATGGAGGCCTCAAAGAGAAATAATTTAAATATTTTTTAAAATTCGATATTGGAATTATAAGAATTAAACGTTCTTTTTGAAAAAAATTATCGATGTGTAAACTCTTCACATTTTACTCACAAACTTAACATAAAAGTGCTTTGCACTTTTATTTCGTTTGTGAGTAAAATGTCAAGAGTTTACACATCGATAATTTTTTCAAAAAGAACGTTTAATCCTATAATATACTTTTATCAAACTTCATATGTTGATACATATTGATGAGAGATATGCAACTGCATCAACATTTTTGACTTGGACCTTTCCATTGACTTTGACCTCACTTTTCTTATATCAATGTCAATCTTCATACGCTGATACATACTGATGTAAGCCATTCAACTGCATCAACATTTTTGACCTTGACCTTTTATTTGATCTTGACCTCACTTTAATCAAATTGTGTTTAAGTCAGTTTTAATTAAAGACATCATTTCTAGAAACTGACCTGTTTACTCTTACGATTTCGCCGTATTTTGTACGGATTTTTTTCCTCAAATACCTCTCACGTTTTGCTATTATGAAAATACGGAAATCGGAAATACCCTTTTGAATTTAGCAGTTAGTTTTCGTTATGTACTCTCTTAGTTTCATGCTTTTTCATCGTTAAATAAAGAAAGCCAGAAGTCTCTGTTGAGACTGAAGCTCTACTGGTTTGTACTTGTAGCAAAGGAAGAGAAAAGTACTTAAGCAGTTGGGAATTTAAACTTTACAACAGCAATAAATAGAATAATGATCCTTGATAAAGTCTCTTTATGTTCTTAGTGTAGTCTACTTGTGTGCCAAGTTATATTGAAATCAGACCAAAACTGTAGGAGGAGTAGCATTTTGAAAGAATTTCACAGAAATTTTTATTTTTAGTAACCACGGCAATACCGTTCATCGAAATCAAAAACCAATACACAGAATTATGTATCTTAGTGTAGTCTACTTGTGTGCCAAGTTATATTGAAATCAGACAAAAACTAGGAGGAGTAGCATTTTGAAAGAATTTCGCATAAATTTCTATTTTTAGTAACCACGGCAACACTGTTCATCGAAATCAAAAACCGATATACGGAATTGTGTATCTTAGTGTAGTCTACTTGTGTACCAAGTTATATTGAAATCAGACCAAAACTGTAGGAGGAGTAGCATTTTGAAACAATTTTACAGAAATTTCTATCTTTAGTAACCACAGCAACACCATTCATCGAAATCAAAAACTGGTACAAAGAATTATGTATCTTAATGTAGTCTACTTGTGTGCCAAGTTATATTGAAATCAGACCAAAACTGTAGGAGGAGTAGCATTTTGAAAAATTGTTTACAGACAGACAGACGGAGGGACGCCGGACGCATTACTATCGCATAAGCTCTTCTGGTCTCTGACCATTAGAGCTAAAAATTCAAACAAATAAGTGGTGTCGGGTTGCAAAACGCTGTGGTATTATAAAAATGACAAAGACCATGTTGCTAAACCATGTTTTTTGTAATCAGAAAAGCAGTTGTTCCCTATCAATAAACGTAAAATCGATGGAAAGTGAAATCTTACTGGCAAATGCCATATCTCATGGACACATTTAATAAAAAATACTGAGAGACTGGGTAAACAGGTCTGTAGATATTTTCATCAAACTTCATATTTTGATACATATTGATGAGAGATATGCAACTGCATCAACATTTTTGACCTTGACCTTTGCTTTGACATTGACCTCACTTTTCCTAAA